TTCCATATTTTTTGCCATATAAATTATTTCACTTTTTCAGTCGAATTCAGCATTTTTCCATATAGTTTTTCATTTTTCTTTAAAAAATCCTTCACATTTCCATACAAATTCTTCACTTTCCCAGATTTCTTCCATATAAATTCTTTCATGTTTCCAGACAAATAGATAGGACAAATTTCACAAGGTGTTTGGTGATAAAAATTAAAAACTTGCAGGGTCCCCAAATTGACCGATTTTTTATTACTTTGTATACTAAAAAGTACATTTTTCGCCGCCGCATAGAGATGTACAAAGGCTTCGAGAGCAAAGGCCACATGGGGAGAAAAAAACATGAAATGGGTGGAATATTCTAAGTACATTTTCGGCAAATTTGCCTGTGCAATTTAAAAAATCATATTCTATGTAAGCGGAGAAGTTTATATTTCTATATTGGTCTATTGACATAACTACATTTATATGAACACAAAGCTATCAATCAGCTGTGGAGACCCCCACACTTAGAACATCCCAAGGCATTACAACATATATATATATATATTTATAATGATCTATTGACATAACTATATTGATTTGAACACAAAGTTATCAATCAGCTGTGGAGACCCCACACTTAGAACATCCCAAGACATTACACGCATATATATATATATAGTTTTATCATGATTTATTGACTTAACTAAATTCATATGAACACAAAGTTATCAATCAGCTGTGGGGACCCCCACACTTAGAACATCCCAAGGCATTACAACGTGTGTATATATAAATACATAAGGTCCTCCACCCACACAGAATATGGAATTGAAATTTTGGCTTCCCCGGGCATCCCAGGAATTGAACTTGAAAAACGATACTGAGAATATCTTGGAATACAGTTGACGCCAAAAAACCTATACTTAGAATACCGTTGGACCATATAAATTCTTTCGCTTGTCCAGACGAATTCGTCATTTTTCCATAGAAATTCTTTACTTTTCTTTATAAACCCTTCACGTTTCCATACACATTCTTCACTTTTCCATATTTTTTGCCATATAAATTATTTCACTTTTTCAGTCGAATTCAGCATTTTTCCATATAGTTTTTCATTTTTCTTTAAAAATCCTTCACATTTCCATACAAATTCTTCACTTTTCCAGATTTCTTCCATATAAATTCTTTCATGTTTCCAGACAAATAGATAGGACAAATTTCACAAGGCGTTTGGTGATAAAAATTAAAAACTGGCAGGGTCCCCAAATTGACCGATTTCTTATTACTTTGTATACTAAAAAGTACATTTTTCGCCGCCGCATAGAGATGTACAAAGGCTTCGAGAGCAAAGGGCACATGGGGAGAAAAAAAAAAACAACATGAAATGGGTGGAATATTCTAAGTACATTTTCGGCAAATTTGCCTGTGCAATCTAAAAAATCATATTCTATGTAAGCGGAGAAGCTTATATTTCTATATTGGTCTATTGACATAACTACATTTATATGAACACAAAGCTATCAATCAGCTGTGGAGACGCCCACACTTAGAACATCCCAAAACATTACAACATATATATATAATGATCTATTGACATAACTATATTGATTTGAACACAAAGTCGCAAAGTTATCAATCAGCTGTGGAGACTCCCACACTTAGAACATCCCAAGACATTACACGCATATATATATATTATATATATATTTATTTCAATATATATTTATTAATTAATCATGATCTATTGACATAACTGTTTAACTATATTTATTTGGACACAAAGTTATCAATCAGCTGTGGAGACCCCCACACTTAGAACATCCCAAGACATTACACACACATATATATATATATACATATTTATCATGATCTATTGGCACAACTAAATTTATATGAACAAATAGTTGTCAATCAGCTGTTGAGATCCCCACAATTATAACATCCCAAGACACTACAACACATATATATTTGAATGTACCTTTAATGATCTATTGACCTAACTATATATATATATATATGTGAACACAACGTTATCAATCAGCTGTGGAGACCCCCACACTTAGAACATCCCAAGGCATTTTCATACAATATATATATATATATATAGTGATCTATTGACACAACTATATTCATATGAACACAAAGTTATCAATCAGCTGTGGAGACCCCCACACTTAGAACATCCCAAGACATTACAACATACATAATCATATATATATTATGATCTTTTGGCATAACTATATTTATATGAACACACAGTGATCAATCAGCTGAGGAGACTACCACACTTAGAACATCCCGAGGCATTACAACACACACATATACATATTATATCTTATATATATACACATCTTTAACGATCTATTGACATAACTCTATTTATATGAACCCAAAGTTATCAATCAGCTGTGGAGACCCCCGCCCTTAGAACACTCCAATGCATTACAACATGTATATATATATATATATTTCTATTATGATCTATTGACATAACTATATTTTGATTGGCTATCATGTTGATTGGGCGCAGACAGAAAAATAAACGTGACCGAACTCTTTGTTTGTGATGTTATGTGTGGGGAGCCAGGGTTAGTTGCAAGGAGCCCCACACTTAGAACATCCATTTCCTGATGTTCTAACTGTTTTGGGTCAGTAGTGTCAACCATGTTCTAAGTTCTAAGTGTGGGGGGTCCCTAATGTTCTAAGTGTGAGAGTCCGAAATTTTGGAAAAAATGACGTTCTAAGTGATTGTCCGGCACTATAAGTTTCTTTGCGCTTTCTTAAAAAAATGAACTGTGGCCTTAAGAGTTTCAACAAAGTTTGTTCGAAACTTGGCATGGAGCCTTCAGAGTTTCTTCAAAGTTTCTTACAAACTTGGAATGAAACCCTCAGAGTTTCTTCAAAGTTTCTTACAAACTTGGAATGAAGCCTTCAGAGTTTCTTCAAAGTTTCTTACAAACTTGGAATGATGCCTTCAGAGTTTCTTCAAAGTCTGTTCCAAACTTGGAGTGAAGCCTTCAGAGTTTCTTCAAAGTTTGTTCCAAGCTTGGAATGAGGCATTCAAAGTTTGGAACAAACTTGGAATGGAGCATTCAAAGTTTGTAACAAACTTTGAATGCTCCATACTTTGAATGCTCCATTCAAAGTTTGTAACAAACTTGGAATGGAACATTCAAAGAATGGAACAAAATTTGAATGCTCCATTCCAAGTTTGGAACAAACTTTGAAGAAACTCTGAGGGTTTCATTCCAAGTTTGTAAGAAACTTTGAAGAAACCCTGAAGGCTCCATCCCAAGTTTGGAACAAACTTTGAAGAAACTCTGAAGGCCACATTCCAATTGTTTAGATTTTTCAAAAAATTAGGAACAAATTCAGGTTTTCTGAAAAATTATTCCAAAATATTACAAATCATTGCCACAATACTTGAAAATATAAAACATAGACCATGTAATCGTTTTTCATCTTTGCAATTTTCAAACCCAAAAATACACCAGCAAATACATGACATGAACAAGGGCTTCAACAATGACATGGACATGGACATGGACACGGAGATGGACAGAACAATCACATGTACATAAACATGGACATAAGCAGTGAAATGAACATGGACATGGAAAAAAAACATTGACATAAACAGTGAAATGGACATGAAGATGGAAATCAATTACGAAATTGACACCAAGCAAAACACACAATATTTATCAATATGTTTCCTTCTTGGCCAGGCGGCTTCGGCTTCCTGATGAGAGTTATGAAACCTAGACCTAGAGATGAGACAGTCCTGTGACCTTGAAGCCTGGTGGGAAAATGGTCGCAGCATGTCCTTGTCTTGACCATGTCTGTTTTCATTTCCATGTATGTTTTCATGTCGATTATTTCAATGTTCCTTATGCACGTTATAGTTTCCATTTCCATGTCTATTGTCATTTTTTGTTGATGTAGTTTAATAGTTTTTGTTTCTTTGAAAACATGATCTAAAATTTGACAATCAAAACATTTTCCACCATCAACATCTTGCATTTCTACCTGTCACTGCTGTCTCCAAAGAACAACATGTTTAATATGTTGTGCTCAAACAACGAAAAATAAATATGAAGCAAATGCGAAGCAAAGTGGAATTGTCCACCTTGAATGATTTTAAAGCATGAACATTTCCATGTATGTCAAACCAATTCTTCCAGGTCACTGGGTTTACATTAAGAACAGAAACGACAGCACCAACAATTTGGCGAAAGTTAAGAATATGTCGACCCATGCCGACCATTTCCGTCACCGTGGTGCTTCGAAACGATCTGCCGCATTTGAAAGAGATTTTTTTTCAAACAAAGCTTGCTGCTTTACTCTTAGAGCTTTGGCGCTGGGGCAATCTTTCGGCCGTGTCCAATTGATGTTCGTTACGAACAAGTGACCAATTGGCAATATGTGAATGGGTCACTTGTTCGTAACCAATTGCGCTTATTGGCAATCTGCCACTTGTTCGTCAATTGCTCATAAAGAGCAATGTTCGTGTGTGGGAATTCTTTATCCAATTGATGTTTCCATTTTCCATTTTTATGTTTTCCGTGTCTTAGGTCCGATCATATTTCCATGTTTTTACCGCCCAGGTATCAAAGCCGACGATCCCTTTGCGAATACGATTTTCAAAGTCTTCTTTGGGCGGCACGGCGAACTGGCGAGTTCCGATGTTTTTGCCTGCGAACATGTGGCAATGCTTCTGGGACAAAGGGTTGTTTCCAAAATACATCATACATGACCCGAAAGAGATATCAACGTTTTGGTCGCAATGTGGTGACCATCCTGCATTGCGACATCACCCTGTGAAAAGGATCTTTTTCACAGGGTGATGTCGCAATGCAGGATAGCTGGATATCATAGCAGATGTATTCCTCTGGTGTTGCACGGCGATGGAGCAGCGGTTACGCAGCAGCTTGGCTCGGGAAGCAAGAGTTGTCTCTTCGTGTCTTTCCGAAGCTTACTTGCCAATCAATCAACATATTTTGATGGCTGCGCTTTGGACAAGCTGCTGCACCAAAACACCGTTCGGCAACACTGGTCGCAGTCTTTTCAAAGCGTTGGCCAACTCTTTCCTGTCCTTGCTCGGCAAAATGGATTCACCCGAGAAGAACATGGTGCTATAGTGGTGAAACGTACGTGCACACGTGTAAAGTCTTGATGATCTCTTGTCTGAAAGGCCGAGGTCTGTAACAAAGCATGGTACGTTTCATCGAGCGCTACAATGTGGCGATGTCCGAGATGGACGACGCTTGGCGATTGAGGTGAAAAATGATGCAAATTCTTTATTTTCATTTCGTGTCCCACAGTGTAAATCCCATGCATTCTTTATTTCCATGTTTCTTTCCATTAATTGTCGATCTATATATTGGACCAGTGCACGGTGCTGTCACATTGCCAGAATCAAAAAGCGATCGTGTCCGTTCCTCTTTTTCGTTTCTGTTGTCGTTGCACTGTCTATTATTTCTCACGTTTTCACTTCTTATGCATGTCTTGTTAAAAGAACTCGGTGTCAGGTTGCGTGCGGCAGCCATTTGGCACCAATGCATGACCCCAACGGATCCTTCTGCGTTCACGCAATGCAGCTTCCTACTTCTTCTTCAACGCCTTTGAGTGACGACGACCTGCTTGACTTGCCAGAATTGGTTACAATCAATCAGTCTGAACTCTTGGTGCATCTGCATAAGAGTTCTCTTGCGGCATCCATTTCCGAAACCGGACGAGAGAATGCTGCCACGCAGGCTTCTGAGCTGGTCAAGCCACTCAAGCAGCTGCGAAGCATTGGGACACAAACCGAAGAGGTGAGAACCGGCCGGGATTGGTTTTGCGACCCTATCAGTGAAACTGATGGCGATCCTTTCCCACCAGAGATCCCAGCTGACTTTCGTGGCTGAAAAAGAAAAAACGACCTGTTCTTGTCACCTGGTGCATGTTGTCTCTGCGAATTTGTATCCATTGTCATGCAAATGTCCATGTCATCTTCGTATTCAATGTTATTATATTTAGTTTTTCCATTTCTAAAATGAAAATTTTGAAGAAAATGTTGTCCATGCCCCATGTCCATATTATCCATGTATTGCCATTTCCATTACATGTGTTCTTTTTGTAAACATCAAATGTTCTATTCTTGGCGCTGACATCTTGACCATGTTTATGTCCATGTCCAAGTCAAAATTTTGATTTTGCAATACAAAACAAGATAAAACATATATTCGTCAAACAAAAACAACATGATTGTAACTTGTTTCAACAACAGCAATCAAAAAAATGATCAAGAAAATAGCCTTTTTCTAGGTTATCATGTCCAAGGTTAAAATAGCCTAAAACAGCTTTTTAAGGCTATAATAACCTTAAAGTCTATTATAGACTCTAGAGTCTATTAATAAGCTAAGAGGAGCCTTAAGGTAGCTGCCATCGCCTCCTTTTCCGCTGCTCCTCCATGGGTCCCCTTCGCCCTTCGGACGCCAGGGCTCCTTCCCCTGACTCTTCTGCACAAGGCGCCCGTGGCGTTTCGCTTCCAACAGCGATGTCGGAGCCCCCTTGCGCCTCGAGGACAAACTGTCCCCAAGTCTCCCCAGCTGACCCGACCTTAGCTCGTCGAGGCAGACGGCTACGTGGTTCATCTCCTTCATAACCCTGCTCGCCGGGCTGTGGTAAGGCCGGACAAGCAGGTTGAAATATGTGGAGATCTTGATCCCACCGGTCACCTGTTGGTCCTTCTCCGTCTCGACCACAGATGACTGATCCAGGGTCGTCTTGGCATGGTCCACCAGCATCTTCAGCACCGCCCCCGGCTTCTTGCTGGACCGTTTCTGCAACGGAGCCAGCAGCTCTGTTGAGCTGGACTCCGACTCCTTCCGGTGTGGGCTACTCCTCCGCGGTCCGTCGCTGTCTGAAGAGCTCGGGCTGTCTCCTCCTCCATGACCAATCCTCTTCCTTTTGCGTCCTCTCTTCTTCTTCGATTTCTTTTCTCCTTTCGAAGCTTCTCTATAGTAAGGAGCTTCACCAACGCCCTTACCTTTTTCGATCCTCCGTCTTCTCCTTGTCCTCTGCCTCCCGCGCGGCTCAAGCTTGCACGGCCTGAGCCAGCAACTGAGCCTGCGGGTCTTGCTTCCTCTTCTTTCTCTTCACTTTCTTCTTCTTCTTCTTTTCTTCTTTCTCTGAAGCCTCTTCCTCCTCTCCTTTGACGTCTCCTAGGGCCAGCTGAGTTGCCTTTCCTTTCAACTTGTCGCCAACTCCCAGTCGGGGCTCTGGCTCCTCTGAGTTCTCCTCCTCCTCTTCTGCATCTTCGGTCTCGTCTGAAGCCCTCATGACCTCTACGGCCTTTGCTTCTGCCTTCCCCTCTATTAACTTCGCCTTGAGTGAGGGCCCGAAGCTTCTCTCGCAGCCGATCTCTGTGATCTTTGGGGGCTGCCCCACTCTTGGCCACTGCAGGTCGCTTTCGGCCCCCACGGGGCTTCTCTCCTCTTCCACCTGGTCCTTTGCCTCGTCCAGGTTTCTTGAGAGGCTTTTTCTTTTCTTCTTCTTATTCTTCTTCTTCTGCTTCCTCTTTGTCGAGCTCCCCAAACTCCTTGAGCACCATGCGCCCCCAGGCCTTCATGTAGGCTGCGTGGAAGGCTGTGCGCTCGAACCACCGCATCGCCACCACATGGATGGCTTGGCGCTCCTCTCCACTCATGCACGGGCCGCCCCAGCACAAGTGAAGAGGGCTTCCACGACGATTGATGCGGTTGCTCAGCACTTTGCCCATCTTCCCTGAACTGCAGCCTACATGCCTTCCGTAGATGTATAAAGTCTGGTCGTCCTCCTTCTCTGTAGACGTAACCAGTAGTGCGGCCTGTGTGGAAGTTCCCACAGCCTCCTCTACGAGGGCCGTGTCGTACTCCACAACGTCCACAATGCGAGGACAAAAGCCGCTCCACCGGTCTGCATCCTCGTTCTTCAGCCATTCTCCTGCCAAACACCCTCTGGGTGCTTCTTTTTCTGCCATCCTAATGGCTCCTCTTGTCTCTACCTGACTCCAACCTGGGCCTCTCGTTCAGGATGTTGTCGGGCAGTGTTCGGTGAACATCCTTGTAAGAGTTCTCAGCCAGCCTTGCCAGTCTTTTGTGCTTCCTGCTTCCTCGTCTTACTTTCTTTCCTCCTTTCTTTTTCTCTTTCTTTTTCTTATCCTTCTTCTTTTTCTCTTCCGGGACTCGCTCTTCCCTGTCCTTCTCTTCTCTGTCCCTCTTCTTTTCACTTCTTCTTTCCTCCTCTGCTCTGTCACGCCTTCGGTCCTCACTCCTTTCCTCCTCTTTCACTGCCCGTCCCTTCGAAGGGCTCCTCTTGTGACTCCTCCTCGGCAGCTCGGGCGATTGTCCTCCTCTGGAAGCTTCTCCTCAGCCTCCTCTTCCTGCTCGGTCACCGTCTCGTAGGTGTACTCGTCGGAGTCACCTGTGGGGCCCTTGGGCTTGGCCGCCGACTTGGCTGCCAGGCCTGGAGTGCCCGGCTTGTCGCCAGCACTTCCAGTTCCCCGTGCCGGGGTGCGCGGGAGTGCAGGTGCCGCAGCCGCCGGTGCGAGGGAGACCCCAGCACCTAGCGACCGCAGCGCCCGCACGGCCCTGCCCACTTGTTTGTGAGCTCACGGACCAGCACCTCCCAGGCGCTGCACGCGATACGCCAAGTGTCTCCACTCAGACGGTCCGAGTGTCGACACTTGGCGCAAACACTGCTCATCTGTGAGCTCTTTGAACCAGAAACGGCATCGGCCAATCGTTTGTTCCTTCAAGCAAACTGTCGTTTCGACTGTCATAAGAAGTGGATTCAGTGGACTTGCAAATTGTCGTCACATGGCCAATACTTGCCAGAATCCAGAACTGAGGTCTGAACCGAGTGGAATTTGGGAAACCTGAAACATCTGAAACTGCTGATTCCATTCCACACAGGTGAGGCTGGCAAGATCCAATTGAGTTTTGACCGAAGAGATGGTGGTGCGATCCACTGATCCATTGAACGCTCGAACATCTGAAGAGAGTGCGCAACAGGAGTTGTTCTGCCACACTGCTTCCATCGACAAGCCCGCCATTCTAAATCCTAGCAACTTGTCAGTCTGACAAATGAGACAAATGTGTTTACAAGCTCAGTAAGATGTGGAAAGTGAGATTTCAGGATGTTTGAACTTGGGCTAGTTATGTCGAGTTGATTTTCTTCTTGTATCTTATTATATCTTGGCATCTTGTTTCTATTCTGCTTGATGTTTGTCAAAGTTCTGCCCTGGGCGCCCAACAGCTTGGCTAATCGAACGAGTCGAAGAATGCGAAGGACCTTCAAGCCTCGCGACCTCTGCCACAAGCACACATCATAGCCGAATCATAGCCGAATCATAGCCGAATCATAGGCCATCTATGTAATGCTTTGAAAACAAAAATCCGAAAACTGATAGTGATGCAGCTCAAAGATGCTCAAAGAGATTTACTTGGATGCCTAGGTCGTGGCATGTTATCGCTGCTCGGTACGATAGAACCTGACCCCACTGCCAGAGCCCTTCTCAGTTGCGTGCATTCTGGCGATTCCTTGGTGGCGAGTTACAGTTCTTGGATTTGGCACATCTTGGTTCTGGCAAAAGTGGGTCATCTACTCATCTGGAGGCCCGTGGTGGGTTATTCCTCCCGGCAGTTGAGGCCACGACTAAAGTAGTTGTTTCCCGCCTGGCAATGTGCAAGCAATGATGAAAAACATAGCCATAGCGTTGCCACAAACAAGGCGGCAGGGCTGCGTCTGTGTCTTCCTCCACATTGCTCATTGTCAGATCTAAGAAAATGAAAAACCAATCCAGGGCCAGGACCTCAGAGAGCTGGAAATTCAGCTGGACGTTCAGCTGGAAATTGACAGCTGGGGCAGCTGGGGCGTCCGACACCCAAGTCAACTGCAAACCAGGTCCTTGCCGATGGTGGGCCATTGAAGACAGGATTGTGGCTATCAGAATATCAGCTATTGAGAATCCATAGGGATAACTTGATAACCAAAGAAATATGACCTACGCATGTCAAATTACACTGTAAAGTCTGTAAAGGGTAGATGTTTAACAGCTGTGATTCTACAACGTGATGGCTATGATTTGAGTTCCGTTGGGATGAGTGCTGATATACCCGTTAATCTGCATTATCGCTCTCTTTTATGCTATATTCACATAATAGACTATATACATACATATATACTTACCTGAGAAGGGGTGGAACGAAAGCCAGCGCTTGCTTTTTGACTCGCGCGGGGGCGCGTGAAACTCCACCTCATCCATATGGCATGGCTCAAACATGAAGCGCCCCAACATCAACAATTGCTATCGGGTCATAATTTTCCAATCATTAAATGGACCTTTTTAGGGTAAACTCCACGATTTTGTAACTTCTATATCCAAATATGTTTCCTACAATGTACTGCGGCATTGTGAAAAGTTCTATCTCAAATTCCGTAAATCTGCCTTTGGTTGCTCATTTATCTTAAAACAGCGCAAGTTTGCTCCCACCTATTGTAGATAAATAATACCCGCTTTTTTGTGTGAACAGTGGTCATGTGACCTCTCACAGTCTAAATTGTTTTCTCCCCAGAATCGTGGTCCATGCTTCTCCGCGAAGTTCCGCAACATTTTGGCCGTACGGTGAGAAATCAAAACATAGCTCTGCTCGCAAAATGGGCAGTGCAAACCCAAGACAATATTATAACATACGTAAGAAAGGGTATAAGAACGAATGAAAATCGAGGAAAACAATGCAAAACCCACGGGAAATATAGAACAGTGGCGAACATGCAGTCCAAATCAAAAGTATATATATTTAGGCCTTTTACAGACCTGGGTAACCCCCCCCCACCCCCCAAGGGTCTGGAAAATAGGTATTTTACAGGAAATGTCGCGGAATAGCATCATCCCTGACATCGATAGAGATAATTGTTTGGCATCCCGGAAAATCTTCTCAGCTATCACCCTCGCCAAACATCCCTTTTAAAAGGCACACATACTATCACGGACGTACAGATGCATATCATTCCCGTCATTGCCATTAGAAGATTCAAATTCTTTCTCAATGTTTTAGTACAAGATTCACTTTTAGTTCTGTTTCCGCCTTCTCAGTACGGCCTCTTACAATGATATTACAGCATTTGTCTCCTAACCTAGGTGGCTCCTGGGCGCAATCTTCATTCCAATGCTTTGTGACAATAACCTGAGGCCTGGAGCCTATGCATCACTTGACAGTCGACTCAGTTCTAAACCGGAAAGACTATTCCTTCCGTTTACCAGTAGATCGTTTTTGTAGTTCTTATCACAAAACTACCAGAATCAGGGAGGCACCAAAAAACGCCAAACAGCTTTAAGCATTATAAATACTCTAATCTGCAGATTGTATTTATTTTTCTTACTCTGTGAACGAAATCACGCTTTTCTAACTTCACACAGATTACCATGAAACCAATTTTCCCATGCAACTCCTAAAATCTTACAACTCATACATCTTTTTTCCTATACCATCCGCATCTTGCTCCAAGGTTTCATGGCAATGTCTTGTACGCGAGTCAGCCACTATTTCCCATCACCAAACTACATTGCTCATCATCTAACATTATCTACAGAAACCAAATCGGATTTCCTGCTCAACGTTTCCGCTCGTTAACATTGTCTTGGTTTTCACTATATTTTTAAAGCATTTTTAGTTATAACATTTTCCTAGCTTTTCACTGTATTTTTCTAACATGTTACATGCCTCCTAGCATGTTCACGCGTGTCCTCCATGTTGTACTGTTTTCTACATCGTTTCCTCTAGTTGTTACAAGCATTTCCTAGCTTGTACACCGTTTTCCTAATATTGTCACAACTTTTCTTCCAGTTTCCACTGCTTTTTCTACCGTTTCCTGTGGTTACTTTCTTCTCTTTTGTAGATTTTCACTGTGTTTTGTCCAGCTTTTTTTATTACATGCTTCCTACCATTTTCACCGCTTTCCTCTATGTTTTTTTGTACCATTTCCTCTCGTTTCCTGCATTTCATGCATTTTCAATATATTTTTCCAAGAGTTCGTCTCCTTCAGTTTCCGATCGTTTTTGCACCATTTCCTCTGGTTGTTATCGCATTTTCCTGCACTTTCACTGTCTTTTTCCAGCATGTTTACTGCATCGTCATAGTTTGTTCCTAGCAGTCGCTCCGGTTTCCTCCATGTTCCAACAGATTTTGCACCCTTTATTCTGGTTGTTGTCAAATTTTCCTGCCAGGTTGTTATCACATTTTCCTTCACTGTATCTTTCCAGCATTTTCCAGTGGATTTTGCACGATTTCCTCTGATTGTTATCATGTTTTCCTGCAGTTTCTATATCCCCTTCGTGGGTTTTCAGTCTATTCATGCATTTTTAATCTATGTTTCCAAGATTTTTACCCGTCTCCTTTTTGCACCATTTCCTCTGGTTTGCTGCATTTTCAATGTATTTGTCCAAGAGTTTTACCCGTCTCCTTGATTTTTCCGATTGTTTTTGCACCATTTCCTCTGGTTGTTATCGCATTTTCCTGCACTTTCACTGTCTTTTTCCAACATGTTTACTGCATCGTCATAGTTTGTTCCTAGCAGTCACTCCGGTTTCCTCCATGTTCCAACAGATTTTGCATGGTTTGTTCCTAGCATTTTCCTCTGATCGTTATCATGTTTTCCTCAAGTTTTATTGTATTTTCCAATACATCCTCTTCGTGGGTTTTCAATATGTTTTGTCCAGCATTTTTTACTACATGTGTCCTATCATTTTCACCTCTTTCCCCCATAGGTGTTTGCACCATTTCCTCTGGTTTCCTGCATTTTCATACCTTTTCAATATTAATATTAATCCAAGAGTTTTACCTGACCCCTTCATTTTCCGATCCTTTTTGCACCCTTTCCTCTCGTTGTTATCACATTTTCCTGCACTTTCACTGTATTTTTCCAGCATGTTTACTGCATCGTCATGGTTTGCGCCTAGCATTCGCTCCGGTTTCCTCCATTTTCCAAGGGATTTTCCATGGTTTGTTCCTAGCATTCGCTCCGTTTTCGTCCGTTTTCCAGGGGATTTTGTACCATTTCCTCTGATCGTTATCATGTTTTCCTGCAGTTTCATTGTATTTTCCAATACATCCTCATGGTCTCTCCGGCCACCAAAAAGGCGGACCTAGGGGGAATCGATACCCCACCGTCAGCAAATTACCTAGTGGTACATAATCCAGCAAAATGCTCCGTTTTCTGGCGCTCAACACAGGGGCACGGCGAGATTTCGTTCCCTTTCGGCAACCACCCCCCCCCACACCCCCTATTCTCACTTCGTTCGCAAACAGCAACTAGCCAGCTAGCTGGCTTTCGTAATAAAACCATCCTTCACCTAAAAAAAATTACTTACAAAAACAACTCAAAATAAATAAAAACATCAAAATAAAACCAAATAACAATCCTACACCTAAGGTCCATATTAACTTACAAAAACAACTTAAAATAAATAAAAATATCAAAATAAATCCATATAACCATCCTATATCTAAGGTCCACATTTATTTACAAAAACAAATTTATAATAATTCCCTCCAAAAATTTAATAAAATAAACAAAACGAAAATACAATATAAAAATATCACATAGGAGGTAAAAAACTCGAAAAATGTAAGAAAAAAAAGGGAAATAAAAAATTTCGGCCTAAAAACATAGATTTAAAAAAAATAAAAAAAAGAAAAATATAAGTTAGAAAATAAATTTATTTAATTATAAGTTTCAACCCCTACAAAACCAGGAAATATATAAGAAATCCATCATTTTACTACTTTATAATATATATTAAAAAACCACTTATAAATAAATACTTACTTAAAATTAATACAAAAAATTTAACTTTACTTTTCAGAGCCAAATTATATCAAAAAAAAAACATTTCTATATCTAAATAATTTCAAATATATCTTAAATATACCCCATCAAATTTCAAAATAAATAAAAACCTTAGATATATAATAATTACATAAATTTATCTTAATTTTATTATTTATTTTAAGATACTTTTATAAGGAAATATAAAATTTCGGTAGAGGTTAATTATAAATATCTATAAATTTCTTAGAAACTATTTTCGAATAATTTATCAAATATTTTACAATTGTTACCTCCCTCCCCCCCCTTCCATAATGTCCAAACGGAGGAGGTTTGGGATACGGGGATACGGGGTAACCAATTTCTTACGTGCTTTTATTTTTCATCCCCCCCCTTTCTAAATGTAAAAATTTTAAGCTTCGGCTTCTGACGTTAGGAGGGGTCCACGTTTGCAATTAGGATAACCCCTACGGTCAAATTCCGAGGGGGCAAAATTACAATCTACGTTTTTAGAACGCCCCCCTGCTTGCAATTAGCCTAAAGGGGTGGTGATTATATATTATATTTTAATTTTATATTTTTATAATTCTATTTTCCTAATATATAATTATCTATAATATTTAATTTTTATATTTTTTATAAATATCATTATCAATAATATCGATTTTTATCCATTTTATTATCAATATTTCCTAATGCTTTAAAAGCACTTAACTACTGTATAGGCATGTACAGGATCCATTTAATTTTTTTACCTGCAAAAACGGTGTAAACGTTTATTTGTTGGGTGATGTTGGGTGCTGTACCCACAACACAACGAGGCCACAACATATCCGGGAAAAGTAGCTTAATATTTTTGCGAAAGTGCCTTTAAAGATTCTTCTGCGCGCAAGCCCTCACAATCTTACAAAAACAAAAGTGTCATCTTATTCACTTCACAGTCAAAGGCCGCTTTCCTGGAATAAATTCTCTGCACCACGAAACATATTCAATCCTTGATTCCATGACACCATTTCTTGTTTGAACAAATACAAATAAATGGCTGCAGTGCTTTTGCGTTGCAGACCTGGGTCGTAGATATAGTTTGCGTTGAATCGAAATTCCACGGAATGAAAAATGCGGAACAGCAATCCTTGCTTCTTCCAGGGTTTTAGGGGTTCACTCCGTTGGGTACAGAGAAGTCTCCATAGGATGGGAATACTTCACATGAAAAAAAATATTTTTCTTGTGGTGGAACTTGGGGTGACCCCATTGCCAATGGTGAAACAAGTTGGGCCGCCCTGGAGCTCAGGTTTTTCCTTGACCATCCTCCAGCAAGTCCAAGTCGCCCTACAAGAAATGGACATGGGGATGGGTCAAGAAATTGGATACCCAATTTAAACAAACACAGGATGACTGATACGCAAAAGGATCAAAAGGCAGAATGGATCAGAATGGAATGGAAGGCTTCACAATTTAAACAAACATGACCAGGGGCCAAGAGAAAATTCACCTACAGGGGGGCCACCATGATCGTTGTACGATGGAAGTTTAAATTAGGGTTTGTGGCCTCAGCCAGTTCTGAATCTCAGGTGAACTCAGATTCCCCTTACGTTGATGGCCGCCCTGTGCCTTGTCCAACTTCCCTCCGATGGAAGTGCCGGGCAACGCTTTCTTGACGCGTGTGCCGCCTGCTCCGGCGATCCTGGCATGCTGAGAGTGCGAACATCCACGAAACAAAGCTTGCAGAACCGGCTAACTCCATCCAATCGGATCTAGTGCCTGGACATATGTGCAAGACTATGCTACGTATATGACAATATGTGAAAATAGCACAAAGTGATGTGGTCTAAGAAGTGGCAACTGATGGTATCATGGCTTCATGGAGATTTTTTTCTCCTCAGCCCTGCTACCGATAACATGGCACTTACCAAACTTGAGCATTGGTTGCCTTTTAAATCCTTTTAATATCTTCCCAATCTTTCCGAACATTCTTTCGTTGCTCGAGAGGTGGACCATCCGGGCTGTGCCTTGCTGGTGTCTTGAAGCCACTGCTCTCCGCCTTGGGCGTTGTCAAGGCACGAGCGAACGCCTCCCGCGCCTTGCGCTTGGTCTCCTGGGTTGAGCAAGCTGGTCTCAGGGCGCCTGGGGTGCGTTGTTTTATGGTTCCTTAACACCACATGCTTGTAGTATCTTGTAATGCCCATTGTAATGCCATGAATCATCTTGTAGTATCTTATCTTATACTTGTACTTGTGCATACCTGGACCCGTGCACACTTGTGCACTTTGGTGGAAGCTTTGCTGCAGTTCCCTGCCTTGACAAGGTCGCCTATGTTGCTCATTTTGCACGTCGCCCTTTTTCCACTTTGCGTTTTGCTGGGAAGGTTTGGGTGGTAGACTGAACTTATGCCAGGGAAATCGTTGGTGGCTGAGCACGGATTCATGTCTATGAAATATGGTCATCAAATGTCAGCAATAAATCCGCCCAAACAAATCAATCAGTCTGGCAGGTTTGTCCAAACTCACATGAATTTTGTGAAGGTGGCAACGGTGTGAAATCCAAATCAAGGAGATTCAAGGTCCGTGAATTTTGGGCCTTGACTTGGGAAACTGTTCAGCCATGTTCAGCCATGTTCAGCCCGGTCCTCGATCATCTTGGCACTTGCACTCTCTGCAGAAAAAATGCCCTCGCGCACAATGCTCTCTTGACCAAAAGGACCCTCTTTCTCTCTTTCCGAGACGATGATGCCGCCTTCCACAAAGACCTTTTGCTTCCTGAGAAAGACTCAGCGAAACATGACATCCTTTCTTAGTGTCCATCTGGTTGTAAAGGGACCGCTCCCAATTTCTGGAGTGAACAGGCCAATGAGGATCATTGAACAATCAGCTGCACTGGCCACGAGGGGTCTCATCACTTGCGGCCCCACAAATTTGCCATCAGCAGAACATATCTCCGCAAAGATCAACGGCCATGGACAGAATCGATAAAACACTTATCAGGAAGTGAATTTGAATGAATTTGAAGCAATATGGCAATTTTACAAAACAAAGAAAGAAACGCATCGCTGCCAGCTCTACCAAACAGCTCTGCTCTGCTCAGCTCTGCTCAGCTCTGCTGGCAAGGTGCTTCGATTTGGTGGTCTTAAAGTTCAACTTCCCTCTCCAAAATGCAGTGCCTCCTGGAACGATGAAAGCATCCTTGTAGGCGTCAGTTAGTGGCTGAGTCCACTCCTTGCAAATGGCCAGGGGAGTGGTTGACCATGGTTGACCGTGGTTGAGAATTCTTGACCCATTGCCAAAGCATAGGCAGCCCAGTTGCAGCCAAGAGACTATGAAAAGATCACTGGGATCTTCACCTTCCTCTGGATCACCCTCGATGACAGACCAAGCGCCAAGCCCTTTGCTGACCATGCCAGCGTAGAAGCGAACGGTGCCATTGTCGTGTAAGGTCAGCAAACTCTCATAGTCTGGGAATCCAAAGACATTGCTCACTAGCCTGACCGCAAAGAGCAGGCACGGAAATGAATGGGCAACAGGACTGAGTGAGACTGCCTCTCGCCCAAGGGAACTGTTCTCGTGTAACAAAAACCCAAATGATCCAAACGTGCAAATCAGCATGGATTCGACAAGAAGCTTCAAGGTCGTGTTGCAGAGTTGCATCTCGGTTCGGTCAACAACACCTCACAAGCCGTGTCACATTTTCAACTATTTTCACTCAGCCACGTGGGTACACATTCTGCAGCACACTTCTCATTGCAAATTTAGGCTACGTATCCAAGTGGAATATTACAGATGAGAGAGCCAACACAAACCAAGTCACGTCAATTTCACCCCATTGCATCCCATTTTTCACTCCATTGCCGTTCAAGTTGCTATTCAAGTCAAACTCTGGTAACTCGGTCGCAACTCTCAGGCGGCTTCCTTCACGTTGCGTCCGGCTCGGCCATCGGGGTGCCACGAAGCATTGTGAGGCCAGAAAAGCCTTAGCCATGGAGACAGTCAGAGACTGCAACGAAAAACACGTGCCACATCAACACACAACAACAAGTACACAACATATCACATGGACGACAGGGATTCACAATGTTGGTTGATGTGTATTGATGTATCTGTTGATAAAATCAAATAAACACAACATAGATCAACATAGTAAAACGATGAAAAACGGTAAAACGATAGGTTTGGAGTTTGGACCTCCTAGAATCGTCAAAATGAAAACATTGCATCGAGGCACACATGCTAAAACCGCTGAAAATTGTAAGCGACTGCGAGCAGTGCCCGCTCGACCCTGGGTTCCAAAGCGACCCATTGCATCCAAGAAGAAATCAGGGCCGAAGTTCTGTCACAAAAACCCTTCCACAAAGTTTTGGAGAGGAGTGGGACTTCAAATATCTTCAAATCGTATAGTCAGGAACTGCACGGTGCTTCAAAAGAATCCTGGTCCGATGTCACGTTTTCTTCTTTTCAATCTTTGCTCAGAGTGATAAGCATGCTTGCAACTCATCTGAAGGTGATGTCCTTCAACTGGATCGGTTGTCCAGCTAGAGCCAAAACTGTGGAAAAAAACGCGGCAGACTCGAAATGGGGACAATTCTGGAAACCATTGGAGGTTTTCCATGGTTTTCCCGAAGACTTTGCAGCTGCCTTTCTAAAATTTTTCTGCGGTATTCCTGCGGTGGGCTTTGTCCAGTGCAGACCGTTCCTGTGACTTCATCACATGGAAGGGGCTCAATTCAAATCATATCGGACATAGGGCTTTCCGAAGCGAAAATTGAAGATTTTGTGACGCCTGGTTTCGGCGCACTGCGCTTCAATGGACTTCGGAGAGTCCCTTCAACGGGAGAAAGGAATAGAAAGGATGGACTCGGAAGAGACATCGAAGGACTGGAAGACTTCTCCAAAGCCATTCCTACTGAGCAACAGCCAAGTACAGCTGAGCCCAGCCCCATTCGAAAGCTCCACTTTCGAATGGCCCCAGCCAGCTGAAAAATCTGATCCAAGGCCTTTGGAGTCTCAGAAATTCCGACTGGCTTCCCGACATGGGACCTTGTCAGTATTTGTCAGTGCTCTATTTACATAAGTTCATCTGATGACAAGCTGAAAAGCCACTGCACCAAGTTTGAACGGTATGTCTTATTGTCCACAATAGTATCAATCATACACACACAGACTGAAATGTGAGAGTGGACCTCAAGTATATACACAAAAGTGTTACATATACCAAACAAGCTTCGCTCTACTTGGTGCTTAGGGCAGCATGCCTCGAGCTAGGCTAATTTGAAGCTCTCTCAAGCGTTCAATGAGTAGGCTTTGGGCGGTGAATGATGATGTTCATCCATTCCGACGTTCTCCACCCCGTCGCTGATGCGCAGAGTTCCTGTGAGTTTCAGCAGCAAGAAGATGATGGCAGACAGGGAGCCTGACCACAAAATCACCATGATGCACAGGATAAATTGAGCACCAATGGCAGAGCCACCATAGCCTGTCTGGCAGGCAGTGCCAGCGGTGTTCATCATGCAACCGAAGCCACTCCAGCCATGGTAGTGATCCTTTGAGGCTGCAGCAAGCCCCTTGGGACCCTCAACATTGGGTCCGTTCGTAGACTTGGGAACCCCAGAAAATGGTGGTGGGTTTCTCCTCAAATAAACCATTGGGGCATATTGGGGCATATTCTCGGGATATTTCGGGTTTTCCATTTCAAAGAAAACTTGGAAACCCAGAGGACCAGAGGATATAATTTGGTGATCTTTGGTGTCACAGAACTGTGGGTTAAGGAAATTCGATCAATCAGGATAAGTTCATTTTAACAGATATTAATTAAAAGCACCACTGGCCACTTCAGCGCATTTTTTCCCGAGAGTCGAAGCCCTTGCCCCAGTCAAAGAGGCCGCAGGCGAGCACGCCCCAAATGCCACAGAAACCGTGCACCGGGGCTGCATCCACCGGGTCATCAATCTTCAACTTCTGCAGCAGCATAGAGGATCCTGTCATGGGATGGGCACGGGGTGTACCATTTGAGAGAGTGTTGGAACTTTAGTCTCTAGTTGATACCAGACCCATTACAATCATTGGAGTTTTCTCTAAATTCAGGGGCCCACCAGTACAGAAGCCATCCATTTTTTTTTCCAAATTGATGACCAGATTGAATCCATCACAGCAAACTCCGAAACATTCCGAAACCTTGACCAAGGGGCCCATGTAAACGAAGGCCCCGATGAACCCGGTGGCAACCGCGCTGCCACACTCCATGTTGCCACAGCCCGCAGTGATGGAGACCAAGCCTATGAAAAAGTGTTTGTGACAAAGGCAGGTTTTGAATAAGTCTACCATCACCAGCAACATGGAAGATCTGTGAAAAGCAACACTTCAGCTACAAATTGGAGTCTGGTCATCCCAACTGGCAACTGCTGAAGATCTGCTGATGAACCAGGCACCTGTTGCCGATGATATATATGTAATATCTTTGACAAAAATCCATTCTCCATCTTTCTCCACCCTTTCCCCACGCCTGCGAGGATACCGTTGCACAACCCCCCCACGTCGTACTTCCTGGTGATGAGATAGGCCAAAATGAAAACTGTGATGCCACCTGTGGCAGCCGACAGCGTGGTGTTCATGGCCACCTGAGCTGCCATGGCACCAGTGGCGTAGTCGTGCATTCCTAGGGTGGAGCCCGGGTTGAAGCCATACCAGCCGAACCACAGGGCAAAGGTTCCCAGCCTGGGCTGAAACAGAAACTGAATCTGCAGTGGAGCTAAAGCTATTTCCCCTCTAACACGTGGCACAGTTGCAGTGCAATTGTCGTAGGGGTGTGATGTTAAAAATTGACAAACATTGGGGTTGCCGTTTTTGGTGGTGTTAGTTTGCTATCACATGCTATCAGCCATTGTATCTGGTTCTTCCATCGCTTTCTGGAATCTGTGGATCTCCATGGCCGCCAAGCTGCACCACCAGTGGAAGATTATGGGTCTCGAACTCCGCGGGGTTGGTGAAGCGCCCCTTGCGAGGTCCCAAGATGATGGTGCCAGCTAAGCCCGCCACCCCACCTGTGAGGTGGACCACTCCTAAGGTGACCATGGACCCCTTGGTCCATGGCAAGCGGAGCAAATTGCTTTGATATCCCAGTTACAGATAGTTACAGTATATCCAGGTTATTTTCCAGACAACCCAGTTATTCTGATCACCAGCTGCCAACTTGGTTGTCTAGATTTAAGTTTTTTTCAGCCATCATCCCATCTTGAAGTTAGCCGCAGATGCACAGTTCGCCACAGCCAAAAAACATCCGAGATCATCCGAGTTTCCACTGCCGGCAAAATCCATGTAGCCAACGTCCAGGATGGTCGCCAGCCAGCCACCACCCCAGGTCCAGGCCACAACAACTGGGTAGATGAAGCTGGCCATCAGAAAGGCGAAGACGGCGTAGGTGGGGCTCTTCACACGTTCCGCCACGGCACCACTCACAATGGTGGCACCAGCAGTGCAAAAGGCCCACTGGAAGAACCAGCTCAACCTTTTTCTGGACGTTTCAACAAATATCTCAACATCACCAAACTGGGCTTCTCATTTGAATTCGTGTTTTTGAAGTCAAACATGGACTTTTGAGGGATTTTGAGGGAGGGATAAAACATAGGTGTTTGGGTGCTTTCAAGACTCCAAAATGGTCCATGGCAGCACAAAAATAGTTCTCGGGTGACTTTCATGTTATAGTAGTTGAATAGTAGTTGAATTGATTTGTTGTACCCCCTAGTCTTGAACACACCCAAATGTTTGCAACCACCGAGAAACATGGTGCTTTGGCAGCCTGCAGCAGAACAGGAGGCAGGTGTGATAATGCCTGTGGTCTTGTCCTGGGTGTAGAAATCGAATCCAGCGAAACCTCCAAGATGTTGGCACAGCAAAGGGCACTGCGGGACTTTGCAGAAAATTCATGCCAAGCCGCACTATATTCAAACTCAATAGACATCAATAGACTCAATAGACTTCAATCTTCCACTGCGCACGTTGCGTCAACACACAAATCTCAGAACTTTCAAAAAGCCAAGACTCCATGCCATCCAATAAAGCCATTGCCACCATTGTCGACTCCGACTGAACCATAGGCAAAGGCCCAACCAAAGAGCCACCATCCCAAGGTGCCCACGCAGACATTCACCAAGTTCTTCATCAAGACGTTTGAGGCGTTCTTGGCCCGGCAGGAGCCGGTCTCCAACATGCCGAAACCTGCGTGCATGAACATCACCAGGGCACCACAAAGACACATCCAGGCGGAGTCCAAAGCGCCACCCAGGCTGTAGTCCGTGGCTTGCAGGGCAGCAACCTCCAAGGGAGATTTATATATATATATAATATGATAGACCAGACATAGATCTAGATCATCATAGATTTACCATTTTGTGCCCAAAGGTTGAAGTGGCTTTGCTAGGGATTTACAGGAACCAGCAGTGTCTTAAAGGATATATATATATATAGATGGATAAAGGCTGATGCGTACTTCATGTCAGTTTGCCGCCAGCTTCTAGTGAAGGACCTGCCCGCATGATCCCGCCTGTGTTGCCAATTCGGCTGTGGTCGCGTAGGTCCTAGGTTCCGCCAGTAACAAATCAGTGCAAATGCCAGATAAATGACAGTACCCTATGGCGGTGAATGATCCTGCGAAACAGGTATGGCAGCCAGGAAACTGCAGGCGTCGTGCATCTCGTTCTTTCTTGAGTCCTTCCAGCACCGCTTGCTGCTCCTGGGCAATGATCAGGCTTTGATGATCTGCCGAATTCACTCAAAATGATATGATGTGATTGAGTCTGGATGCGCACTGTACGAGTACATGAAACACCTTCAGACCTTCCTGAAACATTCTGCATGTAGTACCTGTCAAAATCGAATGGCTGAACATGTTAAAAAGCCACCAATTATCACCAATTCTTCTTCTCACTAGCATTCATGCCCGGGGTTGAACACGTCCACGAACAAACACACCAAATACATCCAAATACTGTGTAGATTGCAGTTGCGTTAGCTCTTCCTCTCAATAACCTTGCAGCATTCCGATGAACTTGAAGTGCCCGTGAGACGTGGTGGGCAGCAGATTAGGCAAACTTCCTCACGCTACCGAAACAATCCACTGCAATGCGGCCATCGCCCGTACCCATGCTACCCATGCCTCGAAGAGCGCACGTTGTGCTTTCACCTGCAGAGATCGCAGGTTCCAGAACTTGGTCAGATTCGCAAGATGTCACAAGAACGAGTCCCATCGAGTCCCATCTTGTATCCTACTGGTATCCTACTCATTCATCAGTTGATATCAGTGGTGTGTGTCAAGAAACATAATCATTTGCAGTGGCTTGAATAACTGCTGTGGTAAACGGGGTGCATGATGGTGCGTCAATGCTATGGAAGGAGAAGAAAGGAGTACCTATCATTTCTTGGCAGCTCAGTGCTGCTCAAAGACTTTTCCCTCATCATAACATATGGAAACCTCTTCTCGGTAAAACAGAGATAGTCTCAGTTAAACAAATGTTAAGATATGTTAAGCAGTTCTCTTGAAATGGGTTTCATGTGTTTTTTTTAAACCATCGGTTTTTGCCGACTAATCCACAGAAACATGAATTGCGCCTGCTCCCGTAGCATCAGCACTTCATCCAAAGTTACAGATCCTTCAGTGGATGCCACCTGGCTCCGGCTACAAAGCATGCAACATCTGGGATATGTCAGATATGTATGCAATCACCATCAATCACCGATTTTATGGATGAGAATGGTGCGTTCAGATCCAACAGATTTCCTTTTTCATGATGTTACAGATTCAAAACTTGAGATGTTTGATGACTTTTGCCAAAAAAACGTGCCAAATCTGACGCTCTTTGTGGCCTTCATGCTCTCTTGTCAGAATGTCTTGCTGGGAGACCGAGAACCACTTCAACATTTACACCCTTCATTACAACCAACTCACTCCATCATTTGCTTCGGCTCTTTTTGAGCATTTCTCAGCAACCGTCCACGCCATGATATTAACTTCTGAGCCATCTCCAATGGCGTTTCGTTCTCTTTGGGATCGACCTGAAACCAATCCCAGCAATCTCATGATTCTCATGTCCAGTTTTCACTACGAGACATTTATAGTATGATATATCCACCTTTTGCTGCGTCTAATGAGTCTAGAACCTATGGAAGAACCTGGGCACTTCCTAGTCACTACTCGACGAGTCTCGACGTAACTTGGAGGGCTCACCAGTAGACCCAGCACTGCGCAGGAGAGCTTCATCTCAAATGTCCTCCGGGCGTCACCATGACCATTTTGGACGTGTCAAATTCACGCTTTGTTTTACTTTAAGATACTTTAAGTCTTTGATATCCTTTGATATGTTGGACTGTTGGACTGTAAATCTTCTAGGTGAAGTAATCTCCATTAGTTTGTCGGTTTCCCTTTATTTTTCGCGGAAGTCGTGAAGAACTGGGAATCTTTGCAAGCATAGAAACATAGTATTTGCCTCTGCAACAGCGTCAACATGTCGATCGATCTCAGTACGTCTGTTGGAACGATCACAGATTTATTACAGATTTATCAGTTACAATGAAACCACATCCCCTTGAACAGGCTACGCCTTTGCTGCGTCGGGAAGCAGCGGACTTGTGGAGCTTGAGCCAAATCAGAGCTGAGGCCAAACAGTCTCTGGGGGCTTAAACAACCAAAGATAAGATATCTTACGGGAATCAATGGTATGTATATATGTGCGGATAAATAAATATATATATATATAATTACATCTATGTATATATATATACACGATTATATACGTATATTGTAATATACATGTATTCACATACAGATATACTACCTACAAAACCAGCAATATGGTATTTGGGTTGTCTGAAAATCCGGTACCCCATTCCATTTCACGGGAAAATCATCGGTTTCTTCCCTGGCCGTAAATACATAATCGGGTACAACATAGTATAACCATTTGTGGACAAACGTATTGATCATATTGCGTGTACGGCAATGGCCCAGCAAATGTCTGGCCATTTCTAGATATTTTTGCTACTCAGCCATCCAATTCTTATATCTGAGGTCAAACAGACCCACTCCCATTTATCCTTGAAAGGTGAAGGGTCAAATCAGCCACGAAATTGGATAACTCCTGCTAGACTTCAAAGAGACACGGAAGGCACAGATGGGCAGAGCATTTCCTGAAGGTTTCCAAATCAAAAGGCCTTTGAGGTCTTTGAACCTCAGTGATAATAGTGATGCTTCGATGCCGTCCACAATCACCAGTTACTGGTGTTCAGTGAAATAACACGAAATAAGTAACTTCTCTCGAAACCGAGGGATATCCTTGCGGATTGTCTGCTGTTCTCATTCCTTTTTCTTTTGATTGTGAAAAGTCCTGCGGATCTAACTCTGTGCCCTGGAACCAAGTTTCCTGGACCATCGGTGACTTGGTTTCTCTTGGATTCTCTTGGCACATTCTGCCACCATCTAAATTGAATCGATGAATCGAACCATTGGCACCATGGCTGCCGAATGTCTCCCGAGGTCTCGGGATCTTGATCCAGTCAAAGTGTTGATCACTCAGCGGCGCCTGATAGTGCGAACGCAAGCGCAAACAAAGAGTCTGCAACAGTTTTCTCAATCTATTCTCAATCTATTCTAGTTCCTCATTTCCTTATGGTAGCCGCTAGCCAAACATGGACATCCAACTCGCCGAACAATAAGGTTCGAAAGCTGGGATTGAAAACGAGGATAAGAGAGTTATCAACTGGAAGTCAACCACACACCAATGCTTTTACCAGCTTGAGCTAAGTCACAGCCGACAGCTCTGGTGCGACACAGGTGTCCTGCGGAAGAATGCGAATGCCGCTTTGGCAGCCATGGAAGCTGAGAAACAGGTCAACTAAGTAACTTAACTAGCCAGAACTGATCAAACATCTGGATGAGTTCTGTGAAAAGCTCACTACGCTCCTTTTTGCATGATTTTGCATGAGCCTCTCCAAAGGGAAGCTGGACAGCTGGCTCTTTCGGGAATAGAAGGATCCAAACCTGGAAGGCCCTGCAACGTTTGGTAATGTTTCGTCCAGCTTGCGCACCAAAAAAGATCTGAACAGAGGTCGACAACCTCTGGATACCTCTGGCATGTCAACACCTGGACTCTTGAGATGCGAGGGCTCGGGTGTTGAATGGAATCAAACTTTGCTGTTGCGGTCTGCTTGAATAAACCCAACTTACCGTAATTGTCTGTCCCGGCATGGAACCACTTGAGCACCACCAGCGAACCAGATTCCAAGAGTCGGTGTCTTCAGCATTTGCCAAAATCCGAATGCTCATTTGAGTCATTTGAGCATTCTCCCAGAGAACATGCTCTTCACATGCTCTTCACATGCTGTTGTCGTTTTGGTCGTTTTGTTAATTCAGGGTCTGAATTCCGACAGCTTCACTGCTGATCTACGCCTCATTGCGAGACCTGTACTTTCTGGCCGAAGGTTTCGGCCTTGAGGAAGAAGTTCTGCAACTGGGCCAATGCCTTGGGGCTGGAGATTGCAATCCGATTGAAAAGAGGGCCTGTTCTCTGAGAAATCACACGTGTGCAATGAGGAACATCTTGGACCACTTCTATATATATATATACTTCTACAGTAACACCTCAAGGGACACTTTCCAAACACACCTAGATGCCTACATATTTTGGATATTTTTGGATGATGTCCGCCATTTCTGTGAAGGTTGGCATGTTGAAGATCTGAAGATCCATCCCATCTGAGGACCGACGTCCTTGAAACCAACAGCAGTCGCCGCTTCACCTCAGCAGTCTGTGCAGCGTTTACATGGCCTCTACTGCTACCCAAGTGTCCAGCCGCTCAACAACTTACAGTGACTTGCCTTTATCATCTTTACCTTTGTACAGGTTCAAATCATCAGAAATCATCAGAGATCATCAGAGGCACGGAGCCATCGTGAGATCTGCTGATGGATCCCAGGCTGCGCGTAGCGATGATCCAGAAGCAGGATCGCTGACCAGTCCCTCGGCCCAGGGAAGTGCCGGCTGTTGAGTCAGTGGTGCGTTCATGTCCACAGGGTTCTCCAATGTTCTCCATGGAGTATAGTCACGATATAGTCCTTTACTCGAATCCAATCTTTTCACCTCAAGTCGTTGGAGCTAGAATGGATGGGCTGGGAGATGTTTAAAGTATTACATCACAATCTCCTTGATGATATGTATACTTGTACAATATGCATATGATGTATGCTATGATGTATGCTGTTGCATTCTTGTGTGCTTGACGTTCTTGTTGCCACTATCAAGAGGAGCGGTCTCATAGACTTCACAATTCTACGCTGGCAAATGTCCTGAAGTCTTGAAATACGTTTGCACAGTGAAAGTCAGATATACAATAGATATACGGTATATACACACACATAACCTGTGTGGATTTATTGCATTCACTTTCATTCGTTGAAACGAAATCGTAAGAAAAGTGAAACCACATCCTGGCACTTCTCTACAACGCTTTGGCATCAGCTTCGGCGCCTCGCATGTCGAATGCTGCGCCCAATGCATTGGTTCACTGCTTTCATGCACCTTAAGAATGAGGAACGCATCGGTTGCAGTTTGTAGGGTTGACTTGGACTGGACATTGCTTGGGTTTTGGTAGGACATGGTAGGACCATGCCATGGCGTTACACATGCGGAAGGTGGATTGATGTGGATTGTGCAGCTTGGGATCATGTGCTCACCATGGCTCACCATGGGAGCAAATGGTATGAGCATTCCCACTTTGGAACCGTGTAATACCGTGTGTGAGCATACCGTATGGTAATACCAAGTCCATCCTCACTGTTGAGATCATTTGAATCAGAGTCCATGAATTCCCATGATCATTTTCACCGTTGAGAGTCCAAAAGCATCCATGGAGGGCAGTGACCATAATGAATTCTTCATTGTTTAAAGGACCCATGGACGACTCGCGTCATCTGGCCAAGACTTGGGTGCCAGCTTGGCAGAATAGAAATCTCGCCCGCTGAGTCCTTACAAGGGAGCGATTCAGTGGAGGACACAAGTGATAGATTTGCATGTGCCCTTCACCCCAATGCAAGCACCAGTGGCACCAGCTATCAAATATGGCTTACATATGCTTGCATATGCTTACATGCGAAATCTGTTGATCTCTGTTGTGAGAACTATGACTCCAAGCTGGATGGCCATGGCCCTGGAACCTTCTCAGCACGTCGAGTCTAGTCCCAGCCCTACCTCCATCTGAACGGCTTTTGCGTTTGGCATCCAGAAAGCGCATCCTGAAGCCGGGAAGATCCACGTAAGACTGCAGCTTTGACAGCCACATCCCTTGTGATGTTCGAACACTTTGGACGGCACAAGACAACATTCCTAAACGCCCAAATTTTACATAGATACAATATTTGTCAATATTTCAATGTTTACCGGCATCTCGGATCCTTTTGGGAGAAAACAGTCGCAACAAAAACACCACAACTGGAAAATCACCACCCGTCTTGGTGCACCGACTTCTCTACCATGGCCAAATCTGAAGCATTGGGATATGGCAAGCCGACCACCTGCCAGTTGGTTCCACTGGGTCACCATACGATCTTTTTTGGGCTAACTTATACAAGCATATACAAGCCTGACTTCTCTACTGATGTACATACGTATGCAAAATCAAACAAAATACATCCATGAATACATCCATAAATTAGTACATAAATAAATAAATCAATGAATGAATAAATACATAGATAATATATCTTGTATAATGTTGCATATAAATCTTAGAAGGTCTGCATGACGAGCTGCAGCTCCAGAAAAACAATTGACAGTGGTTCCAGTAATGACTACTCTGCTTTCAAGGTGCTTGTTGACAATCGATTAACGAGGATTATGATGGATTATGGATAATCCAGAATAATCATGAATAATCCAGATGAAGAAAATCACATGAGCTTTCAACTGGCCTAGATCCTCGCGATCTGGTCCTACTGTCAGATGCAAAATTCTGAGATGCAAACTGCTACGAGGCGACAAAGGTCATCCTGCAGCTAGAAACGCACTGGAAGGTGGCGCACACATCAAAGTCACCAATTTGCAAAAGAAAACATAAACATTCAGGGAAGTTGCAGTCTGAACCTTAAGGTCTCTTGATGTGTTTCACACCCGTTGGGCCGTTGGGCAAGAACTTTCCCTTGGGACCGGGTCAAGCCTTGAAGTCAATGCCTTCGCTTAAGCTGCCACCGCTGACCGCCAGGAGAATTGCGGCACCTTCCTGGACATCTCTGGATTCGGCAGAATATGTAGGAAACACGTGAAACCAATGTGAAACCAATGTGAAACCAATGTGCCTGGATATATCAGTGGTATATCTGGATAAATGATACAAAGATCATGCTAAATCTGCTGCACCCAAGCCATCAAGGTAAGAAGGCAGCCATATTTCAGTTGAAATTGTGGCAGGCTTTGGATAGAAAAGCTCTCCCTGGGCTGTGCTTGACTACTGTACTGTTTGGACAGCCAAAATACAGGATGTTGATGCCCACGGCTACGGATTCAGTCTGGACTGTCGTCATTCAAGTAGTGTGAAAAGGAGTGAATCCTAAAATTATCAAGTCCTCTTGGTGTGTAACACATATTGCAACTATTTGAAAAGGAACTAATAATGGATTACCAATCATCAATCCAGGGCAATCCAGGTATAGTCTAGTCGTACATGTTACACAGGTCACAGATATTCAGACGTTTGCTTCATCAATGTAGCCATCCTCCCGCCTCCCGCACTGCATGAGCAAAATTTTGCAGAGTCTTCGGGGGATCTTTGGGCCCTTGAGCAGCACCTCGGCAGTCCACTGGTAAAACAATAACATCCATACACGATCATACATGATCATACATGCATCTAGAAACATCTATATAGGTACAGTATATTCACTGTATATTCATGGTATATTTGGATATGAACTCCGTCTTATGCACATCAATCAATCAATCACTGAATCTTCACGTCTGGACGGCGACCCGTGGCCTTGCTTCGGCTCAGTCTCTACAAAAAGAGGTCTTCCAGCAAGAAGGCATCCATCGGCACGCCAGTACGAACCTTACCAGTGCGAGGTTGCAGCAGTGATTGGGATGGAAGGGGCTTTTGCAAAGGGAATCTTCAGTGAGGTGGAAAGGATGGAAAGGGTGACTGTCTTCCAATGACCTGCATATCATAACTTGGTGACGATTGACATAGCTGCACTTTTGTGACGCCATTATCCAACCAGCGCCAAGCCCCACGAAGGTCTTAAGTTCTCCCTAGCTTGGCCCTCATGGATTGCTGCCGCCGTTCTGCCGAGGTACGAGTAGCGAAGCTGTTTGCGACGACTGACAAGTATTCGTAGGATGGGAAAAACACGACCTAAGAACAAGAAACAACCCCTGCATGCAACCTGGATGAATTAAAGTGGCTTATCCATCATATTGTCCCATGTTGTCGTTTTGCTTTATTCCGCCTCTGGGGTTTTGTTCCATTGCGATGCTGCTAAGGAACCATACCACCGCATGTTGCAGCTGCTGCGGATGTCAGGATTTGTTGCAACTCTGCCACCATGGACGCACTGCAACGTTTGTCCTTCCTGCCATGGAGTTCCAGGAAGTTTCATTTTTGTTTGTTTGTTCTCCTTTTTTGTGAAGTGAATTTCATTTCCAAAGCAAACACACCATATCACAACATATTGCATCCACCATCTGAAGTCCTGAAGTCCAGTAGTTCTCCAGCAGGGCCATGCGTCACGTATCGTGCCAGCACATGATCTGGCCTAGGAAGGACCAGCATGACCCGTCACGAACACAAAGTACTGGCGGAGAACGCCCACAAGGAGATCCCGACACCCGGACGTGAAAGTCAGGGCAATCCCCAAAACAACATACAAACCCCATGGGACGCACCGCATTCAGGAAGTCAGTGCAGTTAGTGTAAAACAAGGCAAAACACCATGTGGACGCTACATTTAGAAGTGCTATAACTTATGCATCAGAGCTGTTTTCGGCTAGTGAAAATGTGCAAAACACCCTGTGGACTGTCAAAGTCGTTTGAAAAAACCATTGATTTGAAGGATTTCACATACACAACACAATGTGGACGCACACCTTACATGAATCAGTTCCAGGTCATCATAAGTCGGCTGTGATCAACATTGGTTCATGAGGTAGTAGAGCTTTTAAACACACACCTCTCAAGTGCTCTGGTAGGTCTTACAGAATGTGTGCATTTCCTTTGCATTCTGTTAGACAAATACAGTAGAGATTTCAACTCCAAACCTGACGTCGCAATTGCTTCCCACAGCTGACCAAACGTTTCTGCATCTGAGTCACGGCACCACCTTGGTTTCTCAACCCGCCATATGGCAACCATGCCATCGACACACTGGTGCTTTCCGTCTCTAAACACAATCTTATCAGGTTCATTTTTTATTGCAAACTTTTTAAACCTGTTTGTTCGTTAAACAAACAACATACGTCAAACATATTAGTTGATTCATTTTAAATTCTATGCTATTCAAATCTCATTCAAATCCAATCATTCCAATCTCCTTCCAATCTCCTTCCAATCTCATTCAATCTCATCCAATCTCCAACTTCTCCCACTTTCTCAAACTTCAAGCTCTTTCCAGTCTCTTTCCACGCCCAGGCGCATGGCGTCCCTGGAAGCAGCGCAAGGACTTCGGCGCGGCCAAGGGCCGCAACTCCCGTGGCTCCAAGGTGCCACCTGCAAAGAGCACGGCCTCAGAGTGGTGACTTCACTATGCTTCACTTATACTTTATGTTAAATATTGTTAAATTGATGAAACCACCAAAATTGGACTATCATGGACTCATGGACGATCAACATATCAATTCCAAGAACATGATATTCTATGATAATATTCTGAAAATGATGATTCAGATTCAATCCAATCTCAAATATATTTGAAGGGATGATATAGTCATTATATTATATTCTGATTTTGTTTCAGCAAAAGTTCGATTCAAAATCTACAATTCAGGATCAAGAAACAAACTGAGGACTGATGATCTTGAAACAAATCCACAGTTGAGAGTTCAGCCTCTGGGTATGCTGTACATTTCTTGTTTTGCTGCCGTGGGCAATCAGCACAGTACGACAGGTCGTAAACCGCACCAGCATCCATGGGGTTCAACCAATCTGAACGGACTTTGTGAGCAAATGACCCAATGACCCAATGGTCCATCCAAATACAAAAGACGAGTTACTCTCGCTGAAACCAGAATTTCCTGAAAGCGTGCCTTGCAAGCTTGCTGGCGTGCCGGGATAGGAATTTCATGGAATTTCGACATTGTGCTAAATGAAAATACAATGAGGCCCACAAGGTATGGACAATCCCCATGCTAGCATTTCATAGTGAGCAATTCGCGCTGCAACAATGGTAATGTACAACTCAGGAATAGATATGTTTTGAAAAGAACATGCATATCAGCTGCACATGTTCTTGCGAGGCTTTGCACCGAGTCTTTGGCAACAATGCCAAGTTCTATGTATCAAGAGAATTCAAGAGATGGGTTCGAAGTTATAAAGCAACAAAATCAACAACCATCAACAAACTATGCACACATTGTAAACGTTTTGAGCTATACATAGCAACACAAACTAAACGGATCTAAACGGAACAAATCAGCACCATCCGAGCACTCGCCTCCGCATCCAAACTCAGATAGCGCAGCATCGCATCGCCGCGCTGCGAACCTGGAACCGCTGGAACCGCTGGAACGGCTGGAATCGTTGGAATCGTTGGAAACAGCAAATGGCCACGTCAGCCACAGTTGGTGGACCTCCTAAGAGTCCTAACCAGTCCTAACACCTGTCATTTCAAAGTGGTTCAACATGGTTCAACTCTGTGACCTGCCTGGCTCACAAATGATGCGGTCCTGGCAATGGCAATCAGTGCGCATTTTTCCCTGGTCTGGCACATCACTGTCAAACTACTAGTACTAGTAAAGTATTTAGACACAAAGGAAAGGTCCGCTAATAATTGACAGGAACATGAAGGAAAATGTGTTTTTTGGATCAAAAAACACATCTTCCACTCTCTCAAATATCATGAAATAGATTGAACATTTGCTCTGCTCAATTTCTGTCACGAGCGCAAAGACATGATATTCTCCAGTATCTGGTGTCGACATGGGTGATTTGGTTGTGAAACTTAACTTTCTTTGCATGACTTCCCTACGAACCAGTTGCCGGTTTTCCCTTGCCATCCTCTGCACTGCTGTGCTCCAAGGCAGTCAGTAAGTCCGCCAAAACATACACCGAGGACCTGAAAAGTCGGGCCCACTTCTGGTCCAATTTGGATGTCCCACATGTGCTCCGAAAAATCTTGCTGTGGTATTTCTCGTCTCCTTACATTCAAAGCGTTTGCAAGAAATATCAAACCATAGCAGAATATCATCCACTGACACGAATATCATTGACAGTTGCTTCAGGGAGTATCCAATTACCCTGTATCTGTATCTACCCGGTGCATTCTAAACCCTTTCAAACAATTCAAACTTTTTGTTGACCCTTAGCCCTCCACTCCACTTTGATTGCCCATTCCTTTCTTGGATTAAGGAAGTCAACGGAAATCAGTTCATTCCGGAAATTCTGGTGTTACTTTCTATGTACACACCATCTTTGGCTTCGAGAATCTGCCAGGGTTTCGGGCGATGCCAAGGCCTTTCCAAGATTCACCTTCTCCGAGAAGTGTCGCACCTCCGATGAAATCAAAGGAAGAGCAGTGCCACTGCTGGATCGTGGATCAAGAGGTCAATATGATTAATTTGACACATGCCCATCATACTTGCTATATATATTATATGTATATATATATTATATGTATATATATATGTAAATATATATATATATACATATATGTATATCATATTTTTCATATCAATAGATATAATTATATATATAATATATGTATATCTATCATCATTCAATCATTCATATCTCATATCCATGTCATAGATCCAATCGATGCCACCTTCCGTGCCAATTCCGTGCGCTGTACAAAGGCTGCCAGGCTGGGAAGATCAAAATGATCAGCGCCAAGGGCCACCAAGAAACCACCCACCTGACGATGGATCCATGGATCCAAGGGTGGATTCAAGGGAAAATCGGAAAATCCCATGGAATTACAGTGGAATTACATGGAATTACCTGAAACCAATTCTGCGAAATCTATCCATGGTGATCCTCCACATTTCTCAGCGTTTCTGCGGCCAGGGATTAACACCCACTGATTAGAATCGTGATGAACATCAAAATTCGTTGCTAAATTGATGTGCATCCACCCAATACCGCAAATACGGCACGTGTGGTCCTGAGAAAGTCTAGGTCATCCAAACTTGAAAGAAACACATCCATTCCGAGCGACTGTCAAAGCAGCAGGTGCTTCCAAAGCACCCAAATAGCGGTGCCTCAGCCGGGAAGTTTCTGCAGTGAGTTTTCGTATTTTGGAACATTTTGAAACGACACACCGAGACAGTGCAACAGTTACTGTAACATACCCCAACTATCCCCCAACTCAGTAATACCGTGTCAATGACTGGGACCTGCATGCTGGCTGAGGCACAATTGCATGGAGAGCTGTCGCAACTGCCGCAGCTGGACGGCATTCATGGCGGACAGACGAACCTGCAGGGAATTGTCGTCCGGAAATGTCCCTAACCCTCATTCTATCTATTTCCATCTCATTCATTCTCATTCCCTTTCAAAATTCACGTCAAGGAGGGAGAGGAGAGATATGGAGAGATGACACGTGATGACTTAGGCACCGTGGACAAAGGAACAGAATAGTCTCATGCAGCGCTTGGTGGACGATCATTTGTACTACGTCCACTGCGTCCACCGCTTCATGGCACAGAGGTCGTTCAGAATAGGAAGAATCATACCCGCACACAACATCCTCTGCAACTCCGTGCTTACAATTTTTTACAATAATTAGCTGCACATCCTTGTGCTTTGGATGCATTGGGTCAACCAATGCTCCTCGCCTCGTAGGCTTTTGTGTAGGTTTCAAGGTCCTCTGTAGCAGCCCTGGCCTGAAGGAAACAAGAGACACAGGGCCGAGACAACAGCACCAAGTCGAACTGCAAATGCTCCATTTTTCCCCCTGGTGTTCGTCGAACCATTCCGCTTGTTTCTTTGCGGCGCAGACCCCACAAAGCACCGAACAAACAGGTTTCAAATCATTGCAGCTCAAGACTACATCATCAATAAAGCCCCGCATCGATGGCATTGCATCGCACTCGGCTCAAGGCTGGAGCCATCTCTTCCACTTCCCGCACTAGCTGTGCCATCTTTGTTTCGTCACAGGTGGTGACGCTGCTCTGCAGCATCTCTTCCACATCACTGATGTCAGCTGACTGAAGTTCAAGCAATCCAGCATGCAAACGTCTTGCCAACTTGGGTTGCTCCTCAACATTCGCAGCTTCTTCCACCAGCTCCCAAGGATCGCACTGAGCCAGCTCATCTGCCAACTCCTGCAAAGTGTCAATGCTGCGCTTTGCTAGCAACTCAACGAAGGCCTCAGCGATATCTTGGACATCATCTGGATCAGGTTCTGTCTGGTAGTTGATCCGTTTGGGACCGCTCCAGTAGCCACACAGCGCCCACAGCGCGAAGCTTCCCAACTCCTTGGCAGAAACATTTTCGGCACGAACCCCTTCAACAGCCATATAATGCATATAAGAACCATCCATGCCCCAAAACATCAGCGGGAACATGGCATGCGAAAAAAATTGAACATTTTGAAGGGTTGTTCAAGGCGTCGCTTGGATATGCATATGGCATTGTGTAAATATGTGATATTGTCTGATCATACTTGACCCACTTCTCGCTACACCCGAACAGTTTTGCACCAGCAGTAGGAGGGGGTGGATGGTTGGCCGGTTGAGATTCGGCAAAAACACAAACAACATGAAACAAACGATCACCACCACTTTGGCAGACACACTCAAAACTTTGCCACGAGGCATTCTGGGCAAACTCGGGCATCTCAGCCATGTAGAACTTGAAATGTACATCTCGTTCCGCCTTTGCACCAGAAACGACGATGACAACAAAAAACAAAACAAGAACGACAAAAGGAACAATCTTCAAAACAATCCTTCCTCTTGGATTCTGATTCTACTAGTACGCGCACGTTTTGCCCTCGTGCACAAAATAAAAATTTATAAAAACCCTTGTAAATGATATAACTGTATTGATGATACTGCCACTTTATTGTCATCATATTGTCATACTAAATTCTGTTGTCACCTTGGATTGGTAGTTTAAATCATTCATGAGTGTCCAAGGGTCCAGCATGGCATCAACAACCGAAGGAACATGAAACCTAGAACATCTGAACATTCTGCGTTTTCAACTGGGACATTCCACCTTAAAATGAGAGCAATGATTGGTTTCAGATTTGGTTCATGCTACCCCGTGCCACCTGTGGAAGATCATCATGGCTGCCACAACGGACCACTCGTCCGCAGCGCTGCTTCAGGTCAACATAGTTGCTTGGAACCTCGGTGAAGAACTGCACTAGTGAAAAAGTCCAAGATGTGGTAAGCTGAACTCAGAAGTGGTCACGCTGCCATTAGCGGAACCAACTCTTGCATAAACTCAAAGAAATACCGCATCTAGACTCATTGGTTTTCCTGCGCAACATCTATGGCAGCTTTGGACTTGTAATCAAAGTTTGCTTTCTGGCAAACCATTAACATGACTTGAATGTCATCAGTCCAAGCCGCATCCAGGAAGAGGGCCCACCGAGCACATTTCAACTCAATGCTTTCCCCTTCCTCGGCTGCCAGAAGAAGAACCATATATTTCTCTCCACGGGCGTTGTCACTTCTGTTGAAGTCAGCCAGGTGGTCATAGTGAGCAACCTGAGCTGGAGCCATTCATAGAAAATTGTCGGGATTGGTGCAACAGTTTGGTGAAAACAGGGGGCTTTACCCAAAATGGTAACTTTACATGTGGTGGCCGGGCCACATTGAACTTGTGCCTCTTCCCAGCTGCCTCCAAAAGCCACAGCATCACCTTGTACCCAGTGCGCTTGCTGACCATGACCATGGACTTCTGCTGGAGCTTTGCGGCAGCTACCACGTCACTAACAGCTGCCGTGAACTTGGGCCTGCAGCTGTCATGGTGCATGAGCTGGTGCTTGCAAGTAGCATTGCCCACAGCGGTCACATAGCAATGGATATTTGCGTAGCACGCCAGACCATCACTAGGTTTCTTCTCTTTGTGCAGCTTGATGCTCTGGTACATGTAGCGGGCCAGCGAATACCCCACAAGCTCCTCCCTGTGCATCAAGCCATCGCACTCTTCCGACAAAACGCCATCAGCACAAGCAGCTGGCCTCTGTGTTGGGAAGGAAGCACCACGCCGGCAGCGTGAAGACAGAAACCCTTCATCAGTTAACCCTTCGTTGCCGCTGCCTTTCACCACTTTGAGAAGATCTCCAGCGTCTGAGGCCGAGTCTGCCATGCTGCCAGTGAGGCAGACAAAGACAGAATGCTGGGCAGACCGCACGAGCTTGCGAAGGTTAGACAGCTGTGTCTCGTAGAGACTGCTGGGCCTCACCAGATGATGGCCTTCATCCATCAGCACGACCTTCCCATCGTATGGGTTGCCACCAGTAAAGCCTACCTTGAAGACACAA